CTGTAGCAATCAAACAAGAAATAAAAGGCATCCAACATTGTTCTAGATATACTTCCACAGGCAAGGGAAACAAAAGCAAAATAAACTGTTGGGACTACAACAAAATGAAAAGCCTTTGCATAGTGAAGGAAGCCATTAACTAAATGAAAAACCTACTGAATGGGAGATCCTTGCAAATGATTTATTCAATAAGGGGTTAATATCCAAGATATATAAAAAAAATGTACACAACACTCAAAACACAAATAGTCCAATTGAAAATGGGCAGAGGACCCGAATAGATATTTTTGCAAAGACATACAAATGGCTAACAGACACATGAAAAGATGCTCAACATTACTAATCATCAGGGAAATGCAAATCAAAACCACAAAGTCATATCACCTATCAGAATGACGCTGTCAAAAAGACAAGAAGTAAATATTGACAAGGATGTGGAGAACGTTTGTGCACTGTTGGTGAGAATGTCAATTGGTGCAGTCACTGGAAAACAGTATGGAGTTTACTCAAAAAAAATTAAAAATACAAATTCCATATGATCCAGTAATTCACTACTCAGTATTTACCCAAAGAAAATGAAAACACTCATTCAAAAAGATACACATGCCTATGTTTATTGCAGAATTATTTACAATAGTCAAGATATGTAGGCAATCCAAGTATCCGTCTATAGACGAAGGGATAAAGGTGATGTGAGTTTGTGTCTGTCTCCCATATTCTTCCCCTTCTTTCCTCATCCCCCCTTCTCTCTCTCTCTCTCTCTCTCTCTCTCTATATATATATATATATATATATGTATGTATATATATATACATATATATACACACGTATATATATATCATACACACACACACACACATATATATATATGATATATGCGATAGAATATTTTTCAGCCAAAAAGGGGAATGAAATCTTGCCCTTTACATGGATGGGCCTAGAAGGTATGCTAAGTGAAATAAGTCAAATACAAATACCATGTGATTCAGTCATATGTGGAATTTATTTTTTTTAAAGATTTATTTATTTGTGATAGAGAGAGGCAGAGACACAGGAGGAGGGAGAAGCAGGCTTCATGCCAGGAGCCCGACACGGGACTCAATCCCGGGACTCCAGGATCGCGCCCCAGGCCAAAGGCAGGCGCCAAACCACTGAGCCACCCAGGGATCCCCATATATGGAGTTTAAGAAACAAAACAGATGAACAAAAGAACAAACAAAAAACAGACTTCTAAACACAGAGAACAAACTTGTAGTTGCCAAAGGGAAGGTGGGTGGGAGGATGGGATAAATAAATAGGTAATATAAATTGTACTCAGATGAAAAGCCAAATTCTGCACTGACAAAATTCCCTTACCTACATAAAGCCACAGTGCTATCAATCCTTATATCATAAATTTTTCCAATGAATCTCAAATTCATATTGACCAATTGTAGCAAAATCACCTACTGTAGTTGGTAAAAATACAGTTCCTAGGCTCTATCCCTGACTTACTGAATCAATCTCTCAAGATATTTTAACAGTCAGGTGATTCTCAGATAGTATAAACCAGTGGCTCTAAACCTATTTATATGAAATAGAATATATATTTTATATGTATATATTTGCTACTTAGATTTTTAAGTTTTTGAAAGGCAGGTATCATTTATTCACTAAATAGACAGTTTTTAACATTGAGTTAGAAAGGAGCTCTCATTATTTAGTCTTGTATAGTAGGTATATGTCATTTTATTGTGCTTCACAGATACTGCCTTTTTTTTTACATATTTAAAGTTTATGGCAACCCTAAATCAAAAAAGTCTGTCAGCACCATTTTTCCAACAGCATTTGCTCACTTCATGTCTTTTTGTCACATTTTGGTAATTCTCACAATATAGCAAACTTTTTATTTATTCTGATTTGTGATCAGTGATTTTTAATGTTACTACTGTAATAGTTTTAGGGTGCCACAAACCATGCCCATGTAAGATGGGAAGCCATCCATAAATGTATGTTCTGACTCTCCATCCACTGGCTGTTGTTTCCCTGTCTCTCTTCTTGGGCCTCCCTACTCCCTAAGACATACAACATTAAAATTAGGCCAAATTAATAACACTACGATGGCCCTTAAGTGTTTAAGTGAAAGGGAAAGTCACACTTCTCTCACTTTGAATCAAAAGCTAGAAATGATTAAGCTTAGTGAGGAAAGCATGTCAAAAGCTGAGATAGGCCAGAAGCTAGGCTTCTTGTCCTAAACAGTTAGCCAAGTTATGAAAACAAAAAGTTCTTGAAGGAAATTAAAAGCACTACTCTAGTGAATATATCAATCATAAGGAAGCAAAACAGCCATATTGGAAAAAGTTGTATTGGTCTGGATGGAAGATCGAACCAGCCACAATATTCCCTTATGCCATAGCCTAATCCAGAGAGCAAGGTCTTAACTCTCTTCAATTCTGTGAAGGCAGGGAAAGGTGAGGAAGCTGCAAAAGTTTGGAGGAGCAGAGGTTGGTTCATGAAGCTTAAGGGAAGAAGCTTTCTCCATAACAGCAAAGTGCAAGGTGAAGCAGCAAGTGCTGATAGAAGATCTAGCTAAGATAATTGATGAAGATGGCTATACTAAACCACAGATTTTCAAGATTGGCAAAACAGCCTTCTGTTGGAAGAAGATGCCATCTAGGACTTCCATTAGCTAGAAAGAAGTCAATGCCTGATTTCAAGGCTTCATAGGACAGGCTGAGTCTCTTACAAGGGGTTAAAGTAGCCGGTGACTTTAAGTTGAAGCCAATTTTCATTGGCCCTTCTGAAAATCCTAGGGCCCTAAGGATTATGCTAAATCTACTCTGCCTGTGCTCTATAAATGGAACAACAAAATCTGGATGAGGGCATATCTGTTTTCACAACATGGTTACTGAATGTTTTAAGCCCACTTTTGAGAACTGCTGAAGAAAGTTTCCTTTCAAAATTTGACTCTTCATTGACAATGTACTTGGTCACAGAAAAGCTCTGATGCAGATGGACAATGAGATGAATGTTGTTTTGTCACCTCGGCTAACACAACATCCACTCTGAAGCCCATGGATCAAAAAATCATTCCAAATTTCAATTATTATTTAAGAAACATATTTAGTAGGACTATAGTAACCATAGACAGTGACTCTGCTGAAGGATCTGGGCAAAGTCTATTGAAAACCTGGAAAGGATTCACCATTCTAGATGCCATTAGGAACATTTGTGATTCACGGAAGGGAAAAATCAAAGTCTAATGTAAGAAGGGTTTGGACCAGGTGGGTTGATACCCACCCTCATGGAGGACATTGAGGGGTTTAAGATTTTCATGAAGTAACTAGATATGGTAGATCTAGCCGGAAAACTAGAATTAGAAGTGGAGCCTGAAGATGTGACTGAATGGCTGCAACCTTATGGTAAAAATTTCAAAGATTTAAAAAAAAAAAGCAATTCCTTATGTTAAGATTTTATTTCTTTATTTGAGAGAGAGAGCAAGAGAGAGAGAGAGAGCACAAGCATGGAGAGTGGCATAGGGAGAAGCAGGCTCCATCCCAGGACCCTGGTATTATGACCTGAGCCAAAGGCAGGTGCTTAACCAGCTGAGCCACCCATGCACCATGAGGAATTGCTTCTTATGGATAAGCAAATAAATTGGTTTCTTGAAATGAATCTACTGGTGAAGATGCTGTGAAGATTGTTGAAATGACAACACAAGGTTTATAAATTTAGTCAATAAAGCAACGGGATTTGAGAGAATTAACTCAAATTTTGGAAGAAGTTCTACTGTGGGTAAAATGCTATTAAACAGCATTGAATGCTATGGATAAATTGTTTGTGAAATGAAGAGTCCATCATTGCAACAAACATCATTGCTGTTTTAAGAACTTGCCACAGCCTCCCCAAACTTCAGCAGCCACTATCCTGATCAGTCATACCATCAAGCTCAGGGCAAGACCCTTCCCCAGAAAAAAGACTACAACTTGCTGAAAAGCTCAGATGATGGCTAGCATTTTTAGCAATAAAGTACTTTCAATTAAGGCATTTATATTATTTTCCAAATGCACACTCAGACTATAGTACAGTGTAAACATAACTTTATATGCACTGGAAAGCCAAAAAAATTCATTTGACTTGCTTTATTGCAGTGTATATGTGTGTTTAAAGACTTGGTTATCTTGGGGTGCCTGGGTTACTCAGTCTGTTAAATGTCTGGCTCTTAATCATGACCTCTTAATCAGGTCATGATCTCAGGGTTGTGAGATCGAGCCCTGGTGCCAGGCTCTGTGCTCTCAGCACAGAATCCTACTTAGGATTCTCTCTTTCCCTCTCCCTCTGCCCCTCCCCTGCCTGCTCGCACTGCGTGCTCTCGCTCTCTCCCAAAAGAAAAAAAAAAACAAGGCTCTTGGTTATCTTGATATGTGGCCAGGTTTGAGATCACTGATCCAGGGCCACATTAGCTTTTGTTATCCGTATATTGCTTAGCAGGATGCCTTCTGTTGTGATCTGCTAATAATCATGCCCTCTATGGCAGTGGGAAAGCCTTTTGCCATAACTGTCAAATTCTATGGAGTTTAGTCCTTTGAAACTTTTTGGACATAAGGTGCTTTGCAAGTGATTCAGAGCCTATGAAGCATGTGAAACGCTTCCCCAGAACTACCTCTACTCTTAGACAAGAGCTATTTCTGTCCTGCAACAGGTAAAAGCAGAGCCTGGATATGCTTTGCTGATTCTTACTGATCCAATTGCCTATTTAATTCTCTAATCCTGCTGCAAGATAAGTAGGCCAAGCAGTCTCAATGCTGTATCTTCATATGAACAGAAAATAGAGTTAACACCTTAAAATTCTGTAAAACTTCTCTAATGAGAACTTGAAAAAGTTCTGGAAAATATTCTTAGGATATATATGCTGAAATTCTTTCCTAGTAAATAAAACAGATTCTATTAGTCACACCTTCATGAATACATTTTGATAGGGAAAATAAGGAGTTTCAAAAAAATAACAAATGGACTTTTACCTGTGATCCCTCAATTTCACGATGGAAAGAGTCTGCGGTTTCTTTAACTAAAGCGGTTAATGCATAATATTCAGTTGATAAACAATTAACGTCTTGCTCTATGTCTATATTAATTCCATCCATATATTGTATTTTGGCCAACTTAACTTTCTGAGCTATCCACGATGCTCTGAAAGTAGGATCAGTGATATCCTTTATAGGTGCATCTCCTATGAAAGAAATACACATCTTTTGTGCATGTATGCTTTTTTGCAGTTTTATGACATTTATTTTACAAAACCTTTAAAACCTCTCATTATTTTGGAATATTAAGCCCCCAATTTAAATTTTCCAAATAGAGAAACAATATACCAAAATAATAGAAAGTCATTACTCATCTTCAAACTAACCATTATGAATAATTAGTAAAGTCATTCTCAAATTAGAAGTAGAAATTGAAGACTATGACTAACTAGAAGTCATCATGCTGATTAGGATTTGCATTTTGCTCAAATCATAGTGGTTTATTTAATTCTTTAAAAATAACTTACCTGTAAAGTGAATTAAATAGTATCTAAGATTAGTTTTAGGAGGATAAAATACTATACCAGATGAACGTGAAAAGGGAATTTTTTGGAAAGTCAGGATGGCAAACGATGCAAAGTAAATTTACCAATTGGCTGGACATATCTGGTAAAAACTGTAACTCACCTTTTAGCACTACTCTGGCTCCATGTGAATGAGCATAACACATAAGTTCTGGGTCATATTTCCCAAAAATTACCACAGTTGTAATCTGTGACCAATCATAGAACTTCCAAGTTTTATTTCCAACATGAAACACAAATACCTGCCAAAATAACAAAGAAAAGCATCATCACTTAAACCAAGATTACAATGCTGACCACCCAAAATAACATTAAACACTGACCATGTACCAGGCATTAAGAGTACAACAGTGAACAAGAGATAGCTGCCCTAATATAACTGGTGGCAGGAGAAATTAGCTAGGCCTCAAAAGTATGGCTAGGCAGAAATAGTGGAAAGAGCTAAAGCCTAAAGACAGAGAAAGAGTGGTGATTTTTCAACTAAGTATTGCATATAGCTGACACCTAGAATTTGGAAGGAGATAGCAATAAGGAACCAAAGAGGGATGCTTGGGTGGCTCAGTGGTTGAACATCTGCCTTCGGCTCAGGGCTTGATCCTGGGATCTGGGATGAGTCCTGTATTGAGCTCCCTATTGGGAGCCTGCTTCTCCCTCTGTCTATGTCTCTGCACCTGCCTCTCTCTCTCTCTCTCTCTCTGTCTCTCTTTCATGAATAAATAAATAAATCTTTAAAAAGAAAAAAAAAGAACCAAAGAGTGGTAGGCAGGATTATGTCATAAAAGACTTGGTAAATGTTCTTGAGAAATTAGTACATTATCCTGGGGGAAAGGGTCTTAAAAGGAGAATGTAAAATGGAGAATGTAAAAGGAGAATGTATACTTTATAGGTATGCATTTATATATGCATTTTAGAAAAATCCCTTCAGCTGAAGTGGGAAGAGAGACTAAAGCTGGGAGCAGAATAACTAGGAAAGTGTTGAAAGAATTCAGGCAAAAGATGACGACAACCTCAAATTAGCCTTGTAGAAAAGCAGAGATAAATAAGATAAATGAACAGATCTGGAAGATCCTAAGGGCAAAATTAACAGGACTTTGTGACTGATTGAATGAGTAAAGTAAGAGAAAGGGAGGTTGATTAATACTCAAGCTTCTGGTTGCTGTAGATGGAGCCACTGCATCTATACAAATGTACCAGATGCTGTATTTACTATGAATGGTTTTTGGTGAAACAGACTTCTTAGACTAGTTCTAAGGTGGTGGATGTTATGTTTTACTACTATCCCCCCCTCAAATAATTCTAGAAGCCCAGAAGTCTCACTGATCATTTTATTCCAAATAAGGTGTTAATTTGTTGATATAGCAAATATTTATGAAATTCCAATAAGGTATAGGGAAGGTATATTACTAGACATTAGTGACAAGTTAAAGAGACCAGGTCCATTAGCTTTTGAAATACAATAGTGTTTTAAGGGCTGCACGGGAATGCAGATGGCCATGACAGTAAATAAAGAGGGCCTGCTACCCTGGTAGAGCAGGGAAACTTCTGGGAATTACACACTTTGGGGGAAAACTGAAATCTAGGTAATGACCTACACACGATGGAGGGTTATGAACAAAAAGAGCATTCTCAGCAGAGGGAGCAAAAGAGGGTGAATGTCTCAATACCTCAGAAGAATTCTGAATTGCTGGAACTAAAAGTATCAATGTGGCTGGAGCATAGAAATCCTGATAGTACTTGAAATCAGATAAAACTAGTAAGGTATGTAGTGACAAGATCAAGTAGGGCTTTGTAGTTCACTGAGGATTTTGTATTTTATCCTAAGATGAATGGGAAACCATTAGAGTGTTTTAAGCAAGGGAGGGACTTAAGGTTTGCATCAACAAATGAGAAGGAGGGGGAGAGATTAATAATCAGTGGGCCACTGTAAAGAGAATGGTTGGGTGAGGGGTGAGGGAGAACTAGGTGTAATAGTTAAACCAGACTTCTTAATTTTCTCAATTTCTTTAAATTTTTATTTTTTTACTTTTCAGAATTAACTATATATAACCCATTTTTCTCGTAGGCAATTGTCCACTAAAATAAAAATTACAAAATGTGAAATTGGAATGGCCCGTTGTTTTTGGAGATTTTAGACTCATTTCCATCACAAACCTTATCCCCTATTTTAATTCTGATAATTAAGATTGAATTTATTTAAAAAAATACTGAGAGCTTATGGTATAATAAAAATTCTAAAAATATAACTGGATGAATCAACTGAAAATATAAGGGGAAAAAAGAATGTAGTCTAATCTGTAGATTTATATTTGAAGAATATAGGCCAGCAGAGAAAAAGATCATTTACCATGAACATATGAATGAACAAAATTTTGCTGCTTTGAATAATTGATTTTCCAAATGCCCACAGATACTGCAGAATCCATGAAGCAATCCATTGGTTGCTACAATAAGTCAGATATTAGGTTTCCACACTAAATAGGTTCATTATAAGCACTTTACCACCTTTTTTCTTCTAAGCAATGTACAGATACCTTTTTACTGGCATTTAAATGCTTCTGCCTCAAAATGTGTTAGATTAAGAACTGGAAATTGTCCCTGTGTTTACAAAAGAATTGCCCCCTGGACTGTTTGCCTTAAAAATAAAACCGCCAATTATTTTACCAGCCAGAAAATGGAGTTTATTTGGGAATAGCAGAGAATTACAGGACAAGCAAGTTATGGCAACAGCATTGGTAAATCTGTAGAACAAAGGAGAGGAATGCTCTTTTATAGAGGAAAGGGAGAAACTGAAAAGGTAAGCAAAAAGTCAACTGGAGTAAACTAGAAGCTTGAAATATAGTAGCTTTTCATTGGCTGAGTTGTGACAGTCTCTAATTATGTGGGCTTTTCTGGAGGAAAGGAAATAGTTTCTGAGATAGTAAAGTAGTATCCACCTGCAAGATACCCCTGCTTTTCCTGTTGGGTCTGCAATTGATGAGTAGTAGGACATGACAGCTTCCCCTGCTGGCCTCTCAACTCCATTCTAAATGAGGTTTCCTTTTGTTAATTTTCACATTTCCCACTTTTGATCAAGATCTTTTTTTGAAAGCATCACTGATCAAGAGGAAGTTTTCTACATTCCTCAGTACCAGGTAGGACCTTCTCTGGTTGTTACATCTATATTGGAGGGAAAGTACTTATATAGTTGGAAAGTATTTGAAGTCATATTTAAATAACAAGGAAGATTAGGCGGGAGAAACTCTCAGGTACTCCCGTTTAAAGTTAATATCTACTCAAGGTCCTAAGTGTTAGACATCATCTTGAAGGGTTGAGCTGCATCACGTTAGTGAATACAACTTTTTTTTTAAGTCCAACAGGCAAAACAGAAGTAACATACCAATTCCAAATTGTTTAATGGTTCTAAACCAAGAATCTAGTTCTGGAAGTAGCCACTGAAATATTTATTGACACTCCCAACTTGCAGGTGAAGGGTTCTCTGTATGAACGCAAACCTGGAGCCAAGTATGCCTCCTGGAAGACCCCACTTAAAGAGACCATGACAACTGAATCATAAATACTACGAGACCGCACCAAAAGATTTAACTGAGGCATCTTGAGAAGTTACAGTGCAGTTATAAACATGAAGCAATAGCTGATGAACTTTTTGCAAAACAGCACAACTTCAAAGATGTTTTAAAACAGTATTGCTATCTCAAAAGACTGGAATTAAATGTGTTATTGAAAATATAGTCTGTGGTTGCAAACTCAGGAACCATGAATCTGAAGAAGAATCCAGTTAGTTAATAGTTCAGTGGAAAGACTTTTGTGAATTCTGAACTTTCTAACCCTTCAAAGGTAAAGTGAAAAGCTAATTTGTCCCGGAATCATGATGAGGCTGTTTCCAAAAAGCTATAATTAAAAAAAAAAAAAGGGATCCCTGGGTCGCGCAGTGGTTTGGCACCTGCCTTTGGCCCAGGGCGCGATCCTGGAGACCCGGGATCGAATCCCACGTCGGGCTCCCGGTGCATGGAGCCTGCTTCTCCCTCTGCCTGTGTCTCTGCCTCTCTCTCTCTCACTGTGTGCCTATCATAAATAAATAAAAATTTAAAAAAAATATTAAAAAAAGAAGTTCCCCTTTCCATAAGGGCTTGGGGAATACAGAGGCAGCAGTGTCCTCCCACAAAAAAAAAAAAAAAAAAAAAAAAATAGGGGCACCTGGGTAGCTCAATGGTTGAGCATTTGCCTTTAGCTCAGGTTGTGATCCCAGGGTACAGAGCTCGAGTTCTGCATCAGGCTCCCTTGCAGGGAACCTGCTTCTCCCTCTGCCTATGTCTTTGCCTCTGTCTGTATCTCTCATGAATAAATAAAATCTTAAAAAAAAAAAAAAGCACCAATGGCGAGTAAAATATATACAGGCCTGGTCTAGACATCTTGGGGAAACTGTCTTATCATTTTCTTCTTCAATTCTAGGAAACCTTTATTTTCATGTCATCATATGGTGTGCAGAACAAGTCATGGTTTGGTGCTTTCTTTAGATGTATCACATGAATCCAAGAGTCTATTCCCTGAAGTTTTGTGGCACAAGGGTTGGTTTGCAATTCCTGATAAGGGCCTTTCCAGTGAGGTAGAAGACTTTTTATGGAGGTGGTTTTTTTCCAACAAAAAGAGTGCATTGTGAAAAGATTGCTCTACCTAAGTATGTTTATTTTTGAACCCAGTAGATGACCCAAAGACTGAAAGAACATACTCTCCACAGCTAAATATAAAAAAAAGGAGGGTACATCAAAGAGGGTAAGAAGGATACAGAGGTGATCAGGATCCAAACAGACCCACAGGGCTGACTGTGGGAGGGAGGGATGCAATAGGTAGAGGTTGCAGTAGGGAAGAGACCCCACCCCAGGCAGAGGGAACCCACACTGGGAAGACAAATCCCCATAACATTTGACTTTGAAAATGGGAGGGGCCAAATTTCATGAGTTCTTATAATCAAAGGGTCTTAACACCTGGAACTTAAAAACAACGGGTTTGGCTCCAAGAGAACCAGAGGGCAACAGGAAACAGTTCTCTCCCTTAAAGAAAGCCCACCAAACAGCCCCTATAAGATACAGCACAGAACAGCAGTTTGAAAAACATGAGGGGTATACAAGAAGATTTACTTAATCTCAGAGGGTGCGTTGGAGGGACCAGGATCTTCGGGAGACTTCAATCACAAAAGAGTTGGTAGACACTATTTCCTTCCCCTAGCCTAGATACACAGCTGCAG